TTTTTGATGGGTGATGGATTGTTGGCTAGTACAGCTTGTAAAAGTGAACCTGGAAAAGGTAACTGTGATTTGCTGGAAGTAGCTCAGGGTACTGAGAAGAGCAGCAGTTTGTCAGTTGGGAGTGGCAAGGTGCTTGGTAAGGAAAGTTTGGATGAGCCTAGGCAGCATTGTGAGCTGATGGCTTTGTCTAGTCAGCAGTTTGGGAAGGCCAGGATAGTGGAAGATAAGAGTCCCTATACCTTACCTGTTACCTGTGTGGAGGATTGTGACAGTGAAGGAAATGTGCCTGTGTCTGTCAGGGGTATTGGCTTGCCTATGGAGGGAGCTACCCTGATCTCCAAGCAGTTGTCTGTGACCAGCCCTGTGTGCTGGGACAAGGGGAAAGAGGTCCCAAGCTGTGTGTCTGCTAAAGGAGAATGTATCTCCGGCTCTTCTTTGTCTATGGAGCAGACAGAAGGTGCCTTTCAGCCTGTGATGGTTGAGAATAGTGCGGTTGTCTCAGAGTTGGTTCTGGATTCAGCTAAAGCCCAGGAAAGGAATGGTCCTAAGTTTGTGTCTGCTAGGAAGAATGGCACTCTAACTAGGTCGCATCCAGTTAGTGTCCTAGCAAAATCCCAGATACCAGACAATTCTGGTGCTTGTATTTTGCCTGTTGCTAATGTGTAGCTGGGAAAGGGTGTAGCAACTCTGTCTATCAGGGTGATACCCTCGCCAGGGCACAAGGAGAGCAGAAAGGTGATGTGATTGATTTAATTGGGGATTGGTCCTGCTTTGAGCAGGGGGTTGGACTAGATGACCTCCTGAGGTCCCTTCCAACCCTGATATTCTATGATTCTATGACTGTGTTACCTACCGATGGTGTGGAAACTTGTAGCAAGAAGGAAAAGATTCCTGAGCTTGTGTGTGGCAAAGGGAAGGAGAAGGCTTCTAACCTATTATCTAGGAAGTCTATAAGTTTCCCTGAAAGGGGATTGTGTTGGAATCCACCTGATGGGCCAGAGGTGATTCTGGATGTAAGTGAGACCCACTGGATTCAGAGGTGATTCTGGATGTAAGTGAGTAAGAGTCTGTTGTTGCTCAGGGAAGTGTTCCTGTAGAGCAAGCCCTAGGTGAAGAGGGTAAAGGCAGAATTTCTGTGAGGGGTGAATTGCTGCTTAAAGAAATTCCTGGGGAAAGGACTCCTCATGGTAGTCTTTGCAAGCAGTTTGCTGTAGCTGGAGGGTGTGAAAGTGATTTAATCAAGGAAGTTTCAGTTCCTAACAGCCAGAGATTTTCTGTTGTGAATGGATCCACTAACTTTCTTTTTGAAAGACCCAGTGTGGAGAGCTTTGAGAAGGTCTCAGATGGAGTGAAAGCTGTTAAGAAAGTTGAAGAGTCCTATAACCAAGTGGCTGTGTTTGGCCAGCTTGTTGGGAAGACAAGGTTGTTGAGAGAGGAATGTCTCCATGCTGATTCTGTGAGTGAACAGCCTGAGGCTCAGGTTCAGAGGGAAGACTGGGTAGCTGAGTCTGCAGAGCAGAACAGCTGGGCAGTTAATCTCTCGAGAATACAGGGGATGGCAAGTATACTCTCATCTCTAGATACTTTCTTGTTCTCTCAGTGAGCTTAACATCATCTAATTCCGTGTGGAAGCAGAGGTTGGTAAGGGAAGAACAACAGAACTTGGAGTCTGGCTTGTTAGTGAAAATGGATGGTATCCCTTTAAGACAGAGTCCAGCCTTGGAATTGGTAGCAGTTAAGGATCTGAAAACTGGTGTACTGGCTCCTGTCTGTGGTAATGCAAATTACTTGGCTGGCAGGGAGAAGAAGGACTTGCTAATAGCTGGTTTCAGAGTAACAGCCGTGTTAGTCTGTATTCGCAAAAAGAAAAGGAGTACTTGTGGCACCTTAGAGACTAACCAATTTATTTGAGCATGAGCTTTCGTGAGCTACAGCTCACTTCATCAGATGTATACCGTGGAAACTGCAGCAGACTTTATATACACACAGAGAATATGAAACAATACCTCCTCCCACCCCACTGTCCTGCTGGTAATAGCTTATCTAAAGTGATCAACAGGTGGGCCATTTCCAGCACAAATCCAGGTTTTCTCACCCTCCACCCCCCCCCACAAATTCACTCTCCTGCTGGTGCTAGCCCATCCAAAGTGACAACTCTTTACATAATCAAGTCGGGCTATTTCCTGCATAGATCCAGGTTTTCTCACATCCCCCTCACCCCCATACACACACAAACTCACTCTGCTGCTGGTAATAGCTCATCTAAACTGACCACTCTCCAAGTTTAAATCCAAGTTAAACCAGAACATCTGGGGGGGGGGGGGGGGGTAGGAAAAAACAAGAGGAAACAGGCTACCTTGCATAATGACTTAGCCACTCCCAGTCTCTATTTAAGCCTAAATTAATAGTATCCAATTTGCAAATGAATTCCAATTCAGCAGTTTCTCGCTGGAGTCTGGATTTGAAGTTTTTTTGTTTTAAGATAGCGACCTTCATGTAGCTGTTAGCACAGAGAGCAAACCCAATCAGCCAGTGAATTCTGTTAAGCAGGAGAAATCAGGGTTTGATCCTTCAGGACACTGGAGGAAAAAGAGAACTTAATTTTGCAAAGGGGAGCTGCAGGGTGACCCTAAAAGTCCCAAATCCCAATGGTATTGAGCCAGAGATGTGGCATAACAAACATGATTGTAGATGGACACTTGCAATGGATTTGTTGTTGTCGAGGACTTGAATCCCCAGACGGCACGGTTCGTTGTCTGGCCGGAGACAGGCAACACCAGCAAGGTCCAAACACAAAGCTCTTTATTGAAGAGTGCACACAACAAGAGAGAGAAGCCTGTCTCCAAAGAGAACCAGGCAGCCTCTAAGTAAAACTCATAGGTTTTTATAGACAGTCCCATCGCGTCACAGATTTATTCATAAAGCAGCCCCCCCCCCCCCATATTAGTTAAAATCCTCTTTCTCTGGATATTAGGAAAAACTTTTTCACTAGGAGGGTGGTGAAACACTGGAATGCGTTACCTAAGGAGGTGGTGGAATCTCCTTCTGTCAAGGTTCCTCCCCCACTCTGAACTCTAGGGTACAGATGTGGGGACCTGCATGAAAACCTCCTAAGCTTATCTTTACCAGCATAGGTCAAAACTTCCCCAAGGTACAAAATATTCCACCCTTTGTCCTTGGATTGGCCGCTATCACCACCAAACAAATACTGGTTACTGGGGAAGAGCTGTTTGGAAACGTCTTTCCCCCCAAAATACTTCCCAAAACCTTGCACCCCACTTCCTGGACAAGATTTGGTAAAAAGCCTCACCAATTTGCCTAGGTGACTACAGACCCAGACCCTTGGATCTTAAGAACAATGAACAATCCTCCCAACACTTGCACCCCCCCCCCCCCCCTTTCCTGGGAAATGTTGGATAAAAAGCCTCACCAATTTGCTTAGGTGACCACAGACCCAAACCCTTGGACCTGAGAACAATGAAAAAGCATTCAGTTTTCTTACAAGAAGACTTTTAATAGAAATAGGAGTAAATAGAAGTAAAGAAATCCCCTCTGTAAAATCAGGATGGTAGATACCTTACAGGGTAATTAGATTCAAAACATAGAGAATCCCTCTAGGCAAAACCTTAAGTTACAAAAAAGATAGACAGAAACAGTTTTTCTATTCAGCACAATTCTTTTCTCAGCCATTTAAAGAAATCATAATCTAACACATACCTAGCTAGATTACTTACTAAAAGTTCTAAGACTCCATTCCTGGTCTATCCCCGACAAAAGCAGCATATAGACAGACACACAGACCCTTTGTTTCTCTCCCTCCTCCCAGCTTTTGAAAGTATCTTGTCTCCTCATTGGTCATTTTGGTCAGGTGCCAGCGAGGTTACCTTTAGCTTCTTAACCCTTTACAGGTGAGAGGATTTTTCCTCTGGCCAGGAGGGATTTTAAAGGGGTTTACACTTCCCTTTATATTTATGACACCTTCCTTAGAAGTTTTTAAGGTCAGGCTTGACAAAGCCCTGGCTGGGATGATTTAATTGGGGATCAGTCCAGCTTTGAGCAGGGGGTTGGACTAGATGACCTCCTGAGGTCCCTTCCAACCCTGATAGTCTATGATTCTATGATTCTATATGCATGCACATCTACCCCCCTTATTGCAGATAACTTTTAGCAAATTGTAGTGCTTCACTAACTTTCTTATCGGTATGGGTGTCAACCAGGAGACGAGGAGTTAAAACAGATATAACACAAGAGCAGGAAAACAGCGCCTCTGTATCTCAAGGACAGTTCCCAGCACATCTGGTACAAAAATGCAGGAATGCAGGCCTCCCCTTTTTTTCTCACTCTCTGTAACTTAAATAAATATTCCTTCATTCTACTTTCAGAGACTTTCCCAGCAGCCTCTCTTAGCCTGACTTTGGTTTGGTGGCATAACTGCCTCCTGTTTAGCTTTTCTCACCTAACAGTCCCCCCTTTGTCCCCAGAGTGCCATAGGGGAACTCTTGGGACATACTGGCCTCTGTGGGTAGTGACTGGGGACCAATCACTGGTTGGTAGGGCACAGCTTGGTACCCATTCAACAGCCACATCTTAACATAACATACAAAATTATTAGGCCACAAACAATTACAACGGCACTGCGAAGCAGGTTATGTAACCAGGCACCTATATCTGGAACCCAATTGAACAAATTGTTCCACCATGAGTTGACTCGCTCTCCTCCATGGTCTTTTGCAACTTGCATAAGGTGGTTTGCTCTTTCCCAGGTGGCGTTATAAACGTCTGGAACATATACACAGCATTCTTGCCCAATTAACGCACGTGTTTCTCCCTGAGAGGCCAGCAAAATATCTAATGCCAAGCAGTTTTGGAGAACCATGTGCCTTAGGTTTTTTTGTTTGGTTGCCAAATCTACCAAGGCATCGGCAGTGGTATTTGCCATCATCTCCAACACTCCCTGAAGTCTCATGACTCCTTCCCCACTACGCCAGGTGGGACCGCCACAGGCAAAGACAAATCCTGCACAAGCACCCGTCCAATCATTTAGGGCACGCCAAGTAAGGGGGCGAGAGTCATTCGCATCTTCCTCAGCCCCTCTTACATTTCTGATTTCCCCTTTAGGGAGATGTGCGCGATATACTACGGGTGGTTCTAACCAAGCCAAGTAGCAGGATCCACTCCATGAAGGAGGGAGGGCCAGGTATGCCTTGTTACCACACACCCGGTATACTTCAAAAAGGATAGGCGTGACTTTGGACCAGGTATTATTAATACATTTGTACCATCCGGTCCAAGATGGGAGGAGGGAGAATTTAGCCACTGGGGCGTTAGAGGAACATAAACACATAGTATGAGTTGGCAGGTTATACCCCAGCGTGCAATTTATAACACAATAGTCAATCAGCATATGATCTTTATACAAAAAGTGTTCTTCCCCTTGCAGACTGCACTTGTTACCCGCAAATCTATACCACGCGGAGGTGCAAGAGGTTGCCCCATCCGGGAGAGAGAGATATTAGGACCTCTTTTACTCCCGAAATGAGTGCCGTTAAAGTAGACTGTGCACTCAGTATTACCCAAAGCTATTTTCCCTTCTCTTAAGAGGCACCATTGACCAACTCGTTTCCAAACTACTAGATACCTGCTTTCAGAGATGCCAGTATCAGCCCAGGTAATATTTCAATTGCCTGAAGAATTCTTTCAGGACGGGGTTCAGGTCATATTCATTGCACTAAGGGGAATAGGAGCCCTGCAAAGACCTTTTTGGCTATCTGCTGGTATTAATGAGCACACCCAGCATGAAGTGTTTTGTAAGTCTGGCATATGAGATTTCATTTCATGGGCAAGACGTATAAATGTGTTAGAACTGTGTGATTCTATAGTCTCAACTCCCCAGAAAAGAAAGATAACAAATACTAAACAGATTAAAAACACAAGAACCCAGCTTAGAGAACGGGGCCATCTTTCTTTGAGAGGACACCACCAACTCAAGGTTTTTTTAGCTGCAGCCGGAGCTTCAGGTTGCCCAAAGGGGTAGCAGTCCATTTGTCTTGAGCAGAGATGTTGTCTGCTTCTGATTCACCCGGGTCACGGTGGGGTGAATGTGCGTGGCTCCCTCGAAGTCTGACGCCGTCTGCTTCTGGGGAACCTTTTTCCAGGTCAGATTCCCTAGCGGTGCAATACAGGTTAGCTCTGTTAGTGGACAAGGGAGAGGTTACTAGCACTTCACCTTGTTTTTTCCCCTGCTGTCCAAAAGGAGGAAAGACAAAAACCCAGAAGGAGGGACAGGCTGATCAGTAGTCGAAGTGAAGTCATCTTGAGGTGGAGGGGTCTTTTTGCAGTAAGAAGTATGGGTCCAGGCAGTCAGTCCTTGGCACTTCACAGCGGCATTGGTAGTTAGCAGGACTTAATAAGGGCCCTTCCAGCATGGGGCCAGAGTAGTCCTTCGTTAATGGACCTTTATGTAGACCCAGTCACCTGGTTTTAACATATGGCAGGTTTGCTCAGGATCCTTGGAGCAGGACTTCTTTCACCTGTAAATACAGAGACCTAACACATTTCATTAATGTTTGGCAGTGTTTTACAGATCTCACAGCTGCTTGGGCACATTCAAGCCCCCCTCTTTCTTGGCTGTTAGCCAAATCCTAGCTGTGAGTAGTGTCCTTGGGCAGGCCAGCGTCTTATCTTTGGACCGAGCCTGCCAGCTACAGTGTTGAATTAGCTCGTCCTCCGTTCTTTTTCTTCTCTCCTTCTTGGCTTCTATTAACCTGCAAAGGAAACTTTCACTTTCCACTCACACACCTTTGTTCAAAAATGAACACATGTACATTGCCCATTATACAGCACTTTAGTCTTATTGTTCAATGTATGCCACATACACCCTTCTAGGAAAATGACTTTATTACGGAGCTTTGGAGCAACAAGCCAGGACAAGCACACCCACTTTTGAGGAGTCCACTTGGTACAACCTCTGGTGTCCAATAGCTTTCCTCCCTCCCCAGCCCTTTGGCTAGAAATTTGAGGTAGCCAGAAGGATCCCATGTATAATATGGGGAGTGGGTTAACCTTTCATGTCCTTGCTTCCAAAGACTGTTGGTGTGCGCATTTTAACAATTTTTTTTTTAATTAAAAGATCTGGACAACTAAATTTCTTTTACTTACTTAAGCAAATGTATTAAACTTTAGTATATCACATTTTCCTGATATTATCCAAACGCTTTGTATTTCAAGTTGAATAAAACAAGTATCTGCATTTTGATTTAACTCTTCTATTTAGTTTTAAACTAAACTGTCCTATGAAAAATTAAACACAGCAATTCTGGCCACAAGACAAACACCACAAGACAGGACATAGAACACAGAACAGAATTCCTATTGTGCCAGTAAATTCATGAGATGTTGAATTGCTTTTTACTTGGCATCAGTATTTTCTAATTTTCTGAAAGGCAAAAAGAACACAGATCTACCCCTTTTGGGCAGTCAGTCATTGCTTAAAATATTTTCTTTTTATACAAATACCCTTATTAATTGCAGGCAAAACAGAGGAATTACCCATATTTTCTTGTATTTGTTTCATAGGCAGCCCAGGTTTTAGTGGCTTCTACCTTATCAGTTAGGTAATTTACATTAAAACAAATGCTTTTTGGCTTGCTTTTGGATCCACAGCTTAAAGATTCTTACTTTAAAAAGGGCACAATAAACTTTACCGGACTTTAGATTGCCTTTTACTTTTAACTCCTGTTTTCACAACACACGACTCTAAAAAGGAAAACACCAACTATTGTAGCCCCTTAGAGTCTAATAGGATCTTAATTAAGTAGCATTATATATTTACATTCCTTTATACATTTGGGCAGTTAAGTTCCAATAAAACCCCTTATGTTCTTTTAGCTAATTTGTCTAAATTTTTCGTAGCCAAATGATTTCAATCACATAGTCTCTTTGCCTGGATTTATTTACAGACATTTCTTTGAAAAAAAGGCCCCTTTTTCCTTCAGAATGGCTGCAAAGAAACCAAAAATTCTTTTTCTTTAGCATAATTCCCTCCAGCAACTACAGAGTTAACTTCTCACTTTCTTTCCTTAAATCACTTGCTTATTTTCCCAAACGACACCCCGATCAACTCAGATTTTACCATTCCAAGTATTATTCCAGGATTTAAGTTTCCCATTCCTGTAATTATTTACTTCTTTTTTTTCACTATGCCCTCCAAGTTTCCAACCTGTTTTCCAATCTATCTGTTGCCTGCCCGCTTGGGCCCGATCCTGTTTTTCTCTCTGAACTGTCCCTTCCATGAGCACCAGCTTTGTTCCACTACCAATTTCACAAGGAGGGTGGGCTTTTTAACTAGCCCCCAGCCTTCCTGGTCTCTTTTCTTAAATATTCTCACTTACAAGGGCTACCCGAGTCCTCCCCCCAGGGTGCTTGTCACCTGGACAGAACGCACAGCCAATTGGCGGCTTAACTATTCAATTTCCTCTTATGGCAGACACACTGTTGTTACGGCATATGCTGAGCACAAATGGTTGAATTTTGACAAGTCTCTGAAGGACTGGTACTTGCTTAGCCAGTGCTTCCTTTTCTGCCTGGAAGTTCTGTCTTAAGGCTTGCAACTGGTCCTGGGCATAGGTCAGAAAGCCGGAGGAGGGGCAGAAGCAGGCATAGCACAGAGCGGGGCTGGAGACCCCTGAGATGAATAAGAAAAGGAGGAGGAAAGAGGATGTCCTTCTTTTGGCTTATAATCATACCATACAAACAAATAATCCATTTGTCCCGGTCTAAGATCGACCCAAATATCTCTTAAGGAATCCATCCTGTCTGCGGAAAAAGTTCCAAAGGCCGGCCATTCTTTAGTCGGGGACAAATGAGTGGTGAAAGCTGGCCATTGAACCTGACATAAATTATTCATTTTTGATTTAGTTAACCCAGGAGTTCCAGAGATTCCCTTCCAATCTCTGAGTATCAGAGACAACGGGGCGTCCCCCGGGCATTTGCTGCCAAATTGTCCCATCCTAGGTGGAAAGGGGACTCAAACCCACAATCCCCAACTCTTAGTATCAAGCGATCGCTTACCTCTCCAGGGACTCGAACCCTGAAGACCCTCTCCAGGGACTCAAACCCCGAAGACCTGAATCTGGAGCCAACTCAACGGGTAGGTGGATGTTGCTGGATTTCTATGGGCTCCTGCTGGTTCACAGAACACGCCTTATCGCCGACGCAGGGATCAGATCACTGGCAAGGCTCCTCGAAGCCGGAGGATGTGCGCTGCGTTGCTTTAGAGTCTGATCCCTCGCCGGAGAGTCAGACGGGTCCTGGCGGAGTCGCCAAATTGTCGAGGACTCGAACCCCAGACGGCACGGTTCATTGTCTGACCGGAGAGAGACTGGCAACACCAACAAGGTCCGAACCCAACGCTCTTTATTGAAGAGTGCACACTCCAAAGAGAACCAGGCAGCCTCTAAGTAAAACTCATAGGTTTTTATAGACAGTCCCGTCGCGTCACAGATTTATTCATAAAGCAGCCCCCCCCCATATTAGTTAAAATCCTCTTTCTCTATATGCATGCACATCTACCCCCCTTATTGCAGATAACTTTTAGCAAATCGTAGTGCTTCACTAACTTTCTTATCGGTATGGGTGTCAACCAGGAGACAAGGAGTTAAAACAGGCATAACACAAGAGCAGGGAGTGGAAAACAGAGCTTCTGTATCTCAAGGACAGTTCCCAGCACATCTGGTACAAAAATGCAGGAATGCAGGCCTCCCCTTTTTTCTCACTCTCTGTAACTTAAACAAATATTCCTTCATTCTACTTTCAGAGACTTTCTCAGCAGCTTCTCTTAGCCTGACTTTGGTTTGGTTGGCATAACTGCCTCCTGTTTAGCTTTTCTCACCTAACATTGTTATTGCTAATGGTAAATTTTGTAACTAATGTGTTGCTATTACCAAGAACTGTAAAAATGTACAATGTGCCTAGCCCTTTGGAAAATCCCTTAAACATGCTAAGAGCGATACATAAAAACACACTTTATGTTAAAAGGCCTTGTTATACTGATGTGTCACAGTTAGAGTCTGTAAACAGTCCTGGAACTTTTCACAGGGGAAAAGACATTCCAGACCTGATGGGCTGTATGAAAAGGGAAACTGAGGCACGCTAACATATTGCTTTCACGGCTAAATGCCAAGATTCCTGTACTATAAACAACAGTAATATCTACATTAACTTGATGTTAATTGGGTTTCAAACATTTGCCAGAGCTTGTGTGGATAAAGCAGCTCTGTTCTTTAGCTCTTGGCAAGATCACATGAGACATACAGGAACCATGCTGCAAGAGCAGATCCAATCCACTGTTGTTCTAACCAAGTTTTACCTTGAGTTTGTAAAGAGATTCAATCACGTTATTGAACATGACTTTGATAAACCATTTCTGTTATACACTGGTACAGCTTCTAACCCAATACTAGCTGTAGTAAGGCAGAACCAAGGATGGGGAGCTCTTGAGATGCAGTCAGCAATGTTTGTGTCATCCCTTCCTGCATCAATTTTGCGTTGGGGGTGTCACGTTATTGACTTGAACTGGGGCCATATAGAACATGGTTGCAACCAAGGTCCCGTAGTGGCACCAAATCTTGTATAAAGGGGGGTCAAATAAGGTGTCTAAGACAAGATTATGGTTTGCTGGTTATGATTATGCGATCTGTATGCATGTATCAATTTGTATTTAAAGTTATGAATATTGACTCTATACTGTCTTTATGCTCTGCTTCTGGGTGACACCCCAGACAAGTTGGTGTCAGCTCTTCCTAGCCTGCTTGATGCCCCATTAAGGACCATCAGCTATACAATTGATCCATTGAGAGAAAGCAGACATGCCTTGGGACTCAGCAAGGTATGCAGGAACATGCTTAGGGACAGAACTCTGAGGTTTTTCCATGCCATGTGATGGACAGCTTGTCTTTGGAACATGAGTGTTGCTCATGAGTTTGTGGGCTAAATAAAACTTCTTGTTACACTGCTGTGCGAACAGCTCTTATGAGACAGGATCAGGGTCTGAGGCTTCCATTGGGCCCTTTGATTGTCATCTCTTCAAGGCAGGGATTGTACCGTTTTACATGAATGTATATGCAGATATTCCATTGATCCTCTGGTAAAAAGTTGTTGACTCGTGTTAGTATATAGGCCTATTTGTTAGCCTGGGATAGAATTTTGGGTTTGACTTTTTGATACTCTTATATCTTATACTAATATGTGTGAACAAAGAACAAAGACACTGTATGTGTTGCTTCTGCCTGGCCAGATGGGTTTGTTAGTATAGTGGGGACAGATAAGAACAGTTAAAGAGTTACTGGGCATGGTGGGAGTGTAATATACGGGCACATACTTTCAGACTGACTCAACTCCTATCACAAGCCAAGGTCAAGCAACCAGTCGGGAAGGGCAAGGGGGGATGGGAGGGAGGCATCAGAAACACTAAAAGGCAAAGAAAAGCCTAGCCTTGGGCAGAACACAACCTCACTCCTTACCCCTCCAATGGGATACAAAAGAGTTGGGATGAAGACCCCAGACTCACAACCCTTCAAAACGGAATATGACCATAAGTTGTAAGGGGTGTGACTAGGGGCCTGCATTGCAGGTATATTTGGGCCTGCTAAGAGGGAGGAGGTGGGAATAGGAAATGGGGAAGGGGGACACGGGGTAAAGGCTCTGTGGCGTCAGAGCTGGGAACAGAACACTGGGTAACAGACTCTGCCGGCATGTAGAGCTATGGACATGCTTGCTTGGAACTAACCCCAATAAACATTGTATTGTCTGAACTTCGCGCTTCTGGTCTTCTGCGTTCTGTCTGCATGATAAGAGTCAGGAGAGGGGGTGAAGGGAAAGCCCTCTAACAACCGTGGTCCTCATCCCAGACTAAGAGGCAATCTTTTGATTGAGTCATAGATTTCAAGGCCAAAAGGGACCACTGATCATCGAGTCTGCCCACCATCGAGTCAGCACAGGCCAGAGACCTGCCCCAAAATAATTCCTAGAGCAGATCTCTCAGAAAAACATCCAATCTTGTTTAAAAGTTATCAGTGATGGAGAATCTACCTCATCCCTTGGTAAATTGTTTCAATGGTTAATTACCCTTACTGTCAAAATTTTAGACCTTATTTCCAGTCTGAATTTTTCTAGCTTCAACTTCTACTCATTGGCTCGTGTTAGATCTTTCTCTGCTAGACTGAAGGGCCCATTATTAAATATTTGTTCCCCATGTCGATACTTATAAACTGTGATTAAGTCTCCCTTTACCCTTCTTTTTGTTAAGCTAAATAGATTGAGTTCTTTGAGTCTATCGCTATCAGGCAGGTTTTCTAACCCTTTAATCATTCTCGTGGCTCTTCTCTGAACCCTCTCCAATTGATCAACATCCTTCTTGAACTGTGGGCACCAGAACTAAAAACAGAATTCCAGCAGTGGTTGCACCAGTGCCAACTTCAGAGGTAAAAAAGCCATCTCTATTCCTACTTGAGAGTCACTTGTTTATGCATCCCAGGACCAACTCATTAAGAGCCTTGAAGATAAAGACCTTGAACTTGATGCAGGTTTCTGTGGAAAGGCAATGCAGTGAGGGGATGGCAAGTTTGAGGCTCCTATGCATTTTACATTTGTTCACTACTTCCTATTTATCTGTAGACAGATTATGATTTTCTTGAATGTGCTCATTATTTGAAATTATTTGCCATACACTCCTCCAGCATAACTTTTGGGCTGTAGCTTGTTCATGAGCTGTTTGTTAGGAGTGGATGGAATGGATGATTGGATGAGGAATCTGAGCTCTTTCAATTGAACACATGGGTCACTGTTCCTGGTCCCTTACTGGAGAAACACGACTCTCGATCAGGTTCCTGATGTGAAGTTTGGCTCCTATCAAGTTGCTTCTTGTGAATACTCAGCTATATTTGCTGCAGATTCACTGTTTCTGCACATGTGCCTGCCAGAAAACTTGTTTGCTAAAATAGGCTTGGAAAGTGAAAGCAAAAGAGCCATGAACAAGGAGAATTCATTTGAAAATTCATATGAATATTAGCTGATAACTTTTTGCAGTGTTCACCTAGCTCTGTCACTAATCGGGGATAGATTGGATCTCAGGACCTAGAAAGGGGAGGGTCTACAGATACTTAACAAGCCTCGATGAGCTGCCAAAATCTTAACAAACGGTTCCCTATAAAAAGTTCTGATTTAAGGGAAGTGCCAAGAGTGGAGGAGGCAGGGGTGTAGTGGCAGGGAAGAGATTGCAAAGAGGCAAAAGGGGCTTATTGCAGGGGGTGCAGCGGCAGGGAAGGAGTGGCACAAGGGAGAAGTGGGCAGGAGGGGGTTGTTGCAAAGGGCTGGCTGGTGGGGGTGTGTATGTGCCTGGGGTTGTTGCAGGAGGGTGAAGGTGGCAGGGAGGGGTTTGCACAAGGGAGGAGTGGGCAGGAGGGAGATGGCAGGCGGTGGGGGGCGGTCCCGAGGTTGATGCAGGGGTGAAGGTGATCGTGGGTGGCTGGGGGGGGTGGGTTGCCAGATGGAGGTTGCCCAGAGGCAAAAGTGGCAGGACAGGGTGGGTAGTTGGGGCGAGGGGTTCACAGGGGAGAAGGTAGCTGGTTGGTGGGTGTTGGAGGGGGTGGCACTGGCTGGGGGAGGGGTGCCTGGGTTGCTTTCACATACACCATTCCCCAAGCCAGGGACTGGACCTGCCCACCCCCCAGCGCTCCGCGAGCCCACGCGGCTCCCCATGGCCCAGCCAGGCACCTAGCAGGCAGCGTAGACACCCAGCTTCTCCGCCCGAAGAGCAGAGCGCAGCTGCGCCTTCTTCCCCGCGCCGCGGGCCGAGCCGGGCTCCCCACCGCCCCTGGGGCTCTCAGCGGCGGTGCAGGCAGCCAGCCCCCCCCCGCGCCCGAGCTAGGCTCCCCACCGTCCCCGGGGCTCTCAGCGGCAGCTCTCAGGTGCTGAGAGCCCCAGGGGTGGTGGGGAGTTTGGCTTGGCCCGTGGTGCGGGGAAGAAGGCGCAGCTGCTAGTGCTAGACCCTCCCCTTCCCCGCTCCGCCGCCGGCTCCTCCCCCAGGGGGAGGGACTGGCTGTACAAACATACAACAAAACGACAGTCCCTGCTCCAGAGAGCTGACAATCTCAGTATAAGACAAGAGGGGAGGGATAGCTCAGTGGTTTGAGCAGTGGCCTGCTAAACCCAGGGTTGTGAGTTCAATCCTTGAGGGAGCCATTTAGGGATCTGGGGCAAAAATTGAGGATTGGTCCTGCTTTGAGCAGGGGGTTGGACTAGATGATCTCCTGAGGTCCCTTCCAACCCCGATGTTCTATGATTCTAAGAGAAGACAGGTGGATCCAGAAGACAAAGTGGAGGCAAGTCTCTCAGTGGCTCCTTCATTAACTATCTTAAGTCATGGATTCCAAGGCCAGAAGGACCATTGTGATCATCTAGTCTGACCTCCTGCGTAGCACAGGCCAGAGACCTGCCCCAGAATTATTCCCAGAACAGAGCTGTTAGAGAAACATCCCATCTTGATTTAAAAATGGTCAGTGATGGAGAATCCACCTCAGGATCCGTCTGCGTATCTGTTTGGTTCTTGCTCCATAGACAATGGGATTCAGCAGGGGCGGCATCAGGAGGTAGACGTCCCCCATGACAACCTGAACCAGTGGAGTGAGACCTTTCCCAAACCTGTGCACCACGGACAGTCCAATCAGTGGCATGTAGAAAGCCAGGACCACACAGAGGTGGGCCACGCAGGTGCTGAAAGCCTTGACACGCTCCTTCCTCGAGGACAGCTGCAAGACAGCCTTGATGATCATGAAGTAGGACAGGGCAATCAGCAGCGCGTCGAGGCCCATCACCAAGAGGATAGCAGTCAAGCCATAGACGACATTGGCTGTGATGCTGGTGCAGGCCAGGTTCATAATGTCCTGGTGCAAACAATAGGAGTGCGACAGGACGTTGGAGCCGCAGAACAACAGGCGACGAATGAGCAAGGGCAAAGGGAGGCCGAACAGCACGCCCCTAGCCATAGCGGCCAGGCCTATCTTCGCCGTCATTGGATTGGTGAGGATGGTGGCGTGCCGCAGAGGGTGGCAGATGGCCATGTACCTATCCCAGGCCATGGTCAGCAAGACGGTGGACTCGACAGCGGACAGGGAGTGGATGAGGAACATCTGGAGCAGGCAGGCGCCGAAGCTGATTTCCCTCCAGTCAAACCACAGGTAGGAGAGCATTCTGGGCATGGTGCTGGTGGATAGCGCCAGGTCGACGGCAGCCAGCATACAGAGGAAGAAATACATGGGGGCATGGAGGCTCCGCTCCGTCTTTACAATGAACACCACTGCGCCGTTGCCTACAATGGCCATGAGGTACATGGAGCACAGAGGGAACGCCAGGCAGAAACGGGCAACTTCCAGACGGGGTGTGCCAGACAAGATGAAGGAGGAAGGGCTGAAGTCGGTGTTGTTGGGAGAGGGCATGGTGTGCCGGCTGAAATCCAGTGATGCTATTCCATGTCATCTCTCCGCTCTGCCAGGGACAGAGAAAGAGTACTGTAATGAAGCACGTCTAGTGATACTGCGTCTGAAGGGATTTCGGCAAGTAGGTGCCACTAACCCTGGGCGGCGAACAAACCCCTCCTTCGGAGAGGCTAGCCTGTCAGCATTGCCCCATCTGCCCCAGGACCCGCCCCCTGCTCAGCCAGAGGATCCCCGAGGACCCCCCAACCTGTGAGGCTGGAGGAGCCCCAAGGACTCTTCCCCACACCCTCCACAGCCATGCCTGCCAGCCCCCCGAGCGCTGGCCCCAGTGCTGGGCTGAACTGCCGCCCCCACCCCCCAGTGCCACCCAGGCCACTGGCCCCCAGGCTGGCCCAAGCACCACCCCGGGCTGCCTCTGGCCACCTGTGGGCCTGAGCTCCAGGCAACCGGCTTGAGCTGAGTGAGCCCCTGCCGGCTTCAGGGTAGAGGGGGAGTGAGGGCAGGGCCTCGGGGCAGAACACGGGCGGGACCAGGGCCTGGGTCAGGGGAGGCTTTGCCTGCCCTGGCCTTTGACACCCGCTGCCCATGCCACAAACAAGAAATTTGCTTCCCAGTTCTGGTCAGCGCAGCAGGCCCAGGGCTTCCACCCTGAGCCCCTAGCCCCTCCCTTCAGGGACCCACCACAGGAGTTCGCGCCACTCCACTGCGGCCTCCCTTCCCCATCACTGCCTGCGCCAGTCACCCTCTGCTGACCTCTTGCAGCCCTTAATAGGCCCAGGTGCAGCCCAGCCCCTTTCCATCGGCTGGATTGGGCTCACCTGCTCTGACCCAGGGGAGCTGGCCCAGGTCTGCTCACAGGGACCAGGGAGAGGCCTGACTTTTGGGCCCTTTGCTCCCTGAGTGAAAAGGAGCAGGGAGGTTGTAGCCCCACCTAATGTAATGGACACCCCAAAGGGGTCAGGGGTAGGTAGCCCCATGGAGAGGGCTGCAGGGGGAAAAAGCGCATGCAGTGCCCATTGCAGAATGTTTCAATTGCTTCTCTGGCTTGGATGCCCTGGGGGACTTTCCGTTTGCCTTTGTCCTGCATCTCCAGCCACTGCAGTCATGCTGAGATTTTAAGGTGCATGTATGTAATCTGTAGCACCTGCTCCGAGCATCTGAAGACCATTAGGAATGCTGCTTGGCTGCAGGATAATATTACTTTTACTCCCTGTACCGGTGTGATGAAACGGGAATTTTCTGCACTATTTTTATGACCCCTATGTGTGCTTCAGTTTACCCTATATGTTGCATTGTTGCCAAGTTCAGGGGGAAAGGGATTAAGTTCAGGGAAGCCTAAGAGACATAAGGATGAATGTCACCCCGTTGTGTGAGCCAGGATGGGTCACTGCAGAGGATGTGAGGGAGATTCTCACACCTGAGCCATTCTTTTTGGGTGACAAATCTGAGGAACTGTTCTAGGTTGAGGTGTCTATAGAGAAGGTTTTGAAATAAATTGATAAATTAAACAGTAGTAAGTTATCAGGACCAGATGGTATCACCCAAGAGTTCTGAACTAACTCAAATATGAAATTGCAGAACTACTAACTGTGGTCTGTAACCTATCGTTTAAATCAGCCACTGTACCAGATGACTGCAGGACAGCTAATGTGACGCCAATTTTTAAAAAAGGCTCCAGAGGTGATCCCGGCAATTACAGACCAGTAAGCCTCACTTCAGTACCAGGCAAATTGGTTGAAACTATAGTAAAGGACAGAATTATCCAACACATAGATGAACATGATTTGCTGGGGAAGAGTCAACATTGTTTTTGTAAATGGAAATCATGCCTCAAAAATCTATTAGAATTCTTTGAGGGGGACAACAGGCATGTGGACAAGGGAGATTCAGTGGATATAGTGTATTTAGATTTTCAGAAAGCCTTTGACAAGGTCCCACACCAAAGACTCTTAAGTAAAATAAGCAGTCCTGGGATTAGAAGGAAGGTCCTCTCACGGATCAGCAACAGGTTAAAAGATAAAAAACAAAGGGTAGGAATAAATGGTCAGTTTTCAGAATGGAGAGAGGTCAATAGTGGTGTCCCCCAGGGGTCTGTAGTGGGACCAGTCCTATTCAACACATTCATAAAAGATCTGGAAAAAGGGTTAAAAAGTGAAGTGAAGAAATTTGCATACAAGACAAAATTATTCAAGATAGTTAAGTCCAAAGCAGACTGCGAAGAGCTACAAAGGGGAATCTCATAAAACTGGGTGACTGGGCAACAACCTGGCAGATGAAATTTAATGTTGATAAGTGCAAAGTAATGCCCACTGGAAAACATCATCCCAACTATACATATACAATGATGGGGTCTAAATTACCTGTTACCACCCAAGAGAGAGATCTTGGAGTCGTTGTGGATAGTTCTCTGAAAACATCCACTCCATGGGCAGCGGCAGTCAAAAAAGCGAACAGCATACTGGGAATCATTAAGAAAGGGATCGATAATGTGAAGGAAAATTTAATAGGCCTCAGACTTTGGTCAAGCCTGTCTAGGCCTTAGACTATGGTCAAGCTTGTTTCTGTGTATAAGGGGCAGGAGGGAAGGCAAAATGAAAAGTTTTAAGCAGAACAATTTGTATCAGACAGGCACGTTAAAGTGTAACCACAACAGTAGTGTTAGAAAGGATGTTAAACCACAAGAGAAACACCTGTGAATAACAGGAAAAAGCTTGTTTTCCTATACCCCAAATAAGGAAGCTTGTTTTGATAGATTCCTAACAAGGCAAAATATCGATGTGAAAGTATGTGTAACCGGTTGTGGTTTTAAGCGATATAAGCGCCTGTATTTCTGCATTCGGCAGAGCAGCCCCGCCTGTCTCTCCTTGCAATGTGCATTGCTTGAAATAAAGGGCCTCAGGCTGGTTCTGATCAAACACAACACGTGGACGTTTTTCTGCCACTAATTGGTGCCGTGACTCAGATAAACGGTGACCCCCGAGAGCCGAAGGACCACAAGCTGTTCCCGACCAGACCCCGGGCCCATCAGAAAGGTAAGAGACCTTTTGAAATCTCTATATTGGGTTTCTGGTGGAGGACCACCCATAGGCTCTGGGCTTGGGTGAGTTGTATGCTCTATCCGGACCTTTTGCTGCCAGACACGCCTGATGCCCTTGGGATGGGTTAGAGTCCCATCCAGGTTTGGTTTCCCTGGGAAGAGCCACTGGTTGTGGCTGGGCAGGTCGTGGATAGACCTGGGTCTGTGTGCCAGTGTGAAAGTGAAGGTTGGTAGACCGGTGTGAGTGTGAGACACAGGAAGATGCCCAGAGTGCCCTGCAAAGTCAGAGGTGTCTATAAAGCAAGCCCTGTGACTCTATCTAGCGGGCATCGTGATAATGCCCTGACCTCGGCAGTTTCCCTCTGCATGGCATGACCGGCAAGGGGCCTGTCTGGGTCTAGGAATGTGTAATCCCATCCCTTCCATCCTCGGACAGTCTGTTTCAGGACCCTCTTTCCTCCCCTGTCTCTAGCTCCCGCACTGAAGGCGGCTTGACAAGCCACTGACGGTCTGATCACCTCACCTGAAGTTACAGAGTATGCGGCACCAGCTGACGTTCTTTGCTGAATGGAGGCTGTAAGACCTCGTGGAGACCCTAAACAAAACCTTCCCTGTGTAAGTGTGACGAGTGAATTGAGTTAAGTACTGGGGGCCGGGAAATCCAGAAAGGATTCCCCCTCTCTCCAGGTGAAGTACTGGGGGCCGGAGGATCCAAGAGGATTCCGCTCTCGCTAGGTACAGATGGGGGCCGGTGAGTCAAAAAGGATCACCGCCTGCCAAAAGGCACACCGGCGTACTACATTTTCGCAAATTATAGTCCTTTCACTTGCAAGTTTTTAGAGAAATGGAATTGGTATACCAGGGATGATCCGAAATTACAGTTTCCCTTAGAGGGAAGTTTTGACCTTGACAAGATTGTGCACCTCAAAGGCGCACTTCTTGCCAATAATGTTGGATAAGGTCAGTTTGATGCATATTTTGATTGGTATAGGAAAACAGAAAAACGGCACCATAAGTCTCAGTTGAGGAGTCTCAAGGACTCCCAGAAAATACCTAAAACACCATTAAAAAAGACAAGAGAGATTAGCTTTTCCTCAAAACTCCTGTGGGCCAACAGCAGATATTTCTCTCTACCCTTCAAGGCCTCTTCGGGGTACCCCCACAGATACCTCTAAGGATCTTATAGATTTATGTTTAAAATGTAATGGGGTGGGCAATATTCCTATTCCCCACCCCATCTCTTACCTCTGTCCATTTCTACTGGTCCTTTGTTTGACCATAGAATCATAGAATATCAGGGTTGGAAGGGACCTCAGGAGGTCAACTAGTCCAACCCCCTGCTCAAAACAGGACCAATCCCCAACTAAATCATCCCAGCCAGGGCTTTGTCAAGCCTGACCTTAAAAATTTCTAAGGAAGGAGATTCCACCACCTCCCTAGGGAATGCATTCCAGTGTTTCACCACCCTCCTAGTGAAAAAGTTTTTCCTAATATCCAATCTAAACCTCCCCCACTGCAACTTGAGACCATTACTCCTTGTTCTGTCATCTGCTACCACTGAGAACAGTCTAGAAAGCCATCCTCTTTGGAACCCCCTTTCAGGTCGTTGAAAGGAGCTATCAAATCCCCCCTCATTCTTCTCTTCCGCAGCCTAAACAATCCCAGTTCCCTCAGCCTCTCCCCATAAGTCATGCGTTCCAGTCCCCTAATAATTTTTGTTACCCTCCGCTGGACTCTTTCCAATTTTCCACATCCTTCTTGTAGTGTGGGGCCCAAAACTGGACACAGTACTCCAGATGAGGCCTCACCAATGTCGAATAGAGGGGAATGATCACGTCCCTCGATCTGCTGGCAATGCCCCTAGTTATACATCCCAAAATGCCATTGGCCTTCTTGGTAACTAGGGCACACTGCTGACTCATATCCAACTTCTCATCCACTGTAACCCCTAGGTCCTTTTCTG